GGCACCTGCCATTTTCTTTGAAGAAGTACTGGAGAAAGTATTCACTTTTTATGTAGTAGCCTAGTGGTTTGAACGCTCACCCAGGAAATGGGAAACTTGGGTTGAATTCCCACTTCAGCCTGAGAGGATTCGAACCCCATATCCCATTTTTCCTGGGCTGCCCTAACAACCAGCTATAGGCTAGACTGAGATGGGGTGCAGCATTCCCTGCCCCTCCTACTGATATTGTGCCAGCACCTAGAAAAGAAAGCAATATTCATGCAAGTGTAATCCTTCTGCTGGGCACCAGTTGGCAGCAACAAGGGTCAGGTTCAATCTTAGGGTCGAAATATATTTTACCTTGGCTTGAGCCCCCACCCAGACCACCTGGGAAACACTAAATAAATTACTAGGGGGTCCCACATAAACACTCCCCCCCACAAGCACTGTAAACACAGTGGGTAAATGTATTACAGAAGCAAAGGCAAAGAAAACAAAGAAAACGCTAAATACAATTTAAAACACTACCAACTACAAGGCATAGTTCATAGATTGCACCCTCTTGGAGAGGCTTCACCCATGCCCCGGCAGTCTGGCATCCTTACACCTGCCCTTCAGCAATGGGCTGGAGAGGGGGCTTCACTGGAGAGTCCTTTGAGCTGCTCCTTGCATCCACCCGGATGCAGGAAGCTGCTAGAGAGTGTGGGCGCTTCTGTGTTGCAAAGGGCCCCTTGTTGCTCCCTGAAACACTGAATGGCAATTCCCACTTCCATGTGGTGGCCTTGAGGGGTGAACGGTAGCTCCAGACAGCATGCTGCACCCCTAAATTCCTAGTCCCACTCCTAGCTCTGCTGGGCAGAAACTGCAAGAGGAAAACGTCAAAGGAGAGGTCAGGCAGGCCCGAAGCAAACGCTGGCCAGGCCTATACTGTACTGAGGCCTGAACATGTAGCTGGGGTTCAGCTACACAGCTAGGTTGAAACACCATAACTGTAGAAACAGCAGAAAAAAGGCCCAGGCCTATGGCTGCAGCCTGGACATATGGTCTCAACTACACCCTATGCATTTACAAAATAGAGGAGGCCAGGCCCCTGTAACCATAATGGCCAGGACCCTTTCCTGGGCACACCGCTCCAGTGAACAACACCATGGTGCTATCCCACTTAAGGCCAGTGTAGCCAGCAACTGCCAGGACCCATTCCTGGGCAGTTTGCTTCAGGGATTAATACCCCATGGCATTAACCCACTTAAAAAGAAAGCAAGCAAGCAAGAAAGCAAGAAAGAGGAAGGAAATAGGAGTCTCAAACTCCAAAACAGACTTTCTCTCCCTCTATCTGAGGCTTTCCCTTCAAATAGGGTTTGCCCGCCTCTCCATTGAAGAGTGGGGAGCAGGTTTTCTGGCCCTGATGTAGCTGGGCAGCTCTCCACAGCCCCAGGAGAGAGAGAGAGCCTTAGAGTGGTTCTGTGCGAAACAGCACTGTTCCGATTCGACTTCCGCTTCAACGATTCGATGGAGCCGTGTTTTGTTTCGAGTTTTGTTTCATTTCGAAAGCGCTGTTCCATTTCATTTAGTCGAAACTGTTTTGCTGTTTCGACACTGTTTCGATGTTTCGCCCATAGCTTATTCTGGAGAAACATAAAATGCAGCAGGCAGGCAGATCGGGGGCTCACCTGCACCCCCGAGAGAGCTGCAGGGGCTGTGCTGGAGTCCTCCGGGGGGGCATGACCCTGATCTGCCTGCCGGATGACAGGAGCTGGCTGCTGCCACCTGGGGCCAGCGGCAGCACCAATCTTCCTGGGGTCGGGCACGGGCTGTGCCCAGCACCAGTCTGTCATCTGGCAGGCAGATCAGGGGCCTGCACCCTGAGGAGGGCTCCAGCACAGATCCCACTGCCCTCCCAGGGGTAAGGGAGAGCCCCCAATCTGTCTGCTGGATGAGAGGAGCTGGGTGATGCTGCTTGGGACCAGCAGCAGCAGTGATCTTCCTGGCGTTGGTCCCAGATGGCAGCACCCGGTTTCTCTTATCTGGCAGGCAGATCAGGAGCCCGCACCCCCGGGGGACTCCGGCACAGCCCCCACAGCCCTCCTGGGGGTGCAGGCAAGTCCCTGATCTGCCTGTCAGATGAAGGCTGGGACCACCGCTGAAGCCAGGAAGCCTGCCTTCGAAACTCAAAACATTTTGAAACTTTCAACACGTTTCGAGTGTCTTTGTTTTGTTTTGAAGCTGTTTCAAAGGCTTTTGTTTCATTTTGATTTCAATGTTTCCAACTCAAAACACATTGAAACAGCTTCAAAACGAAATGCCAGGTGAAATTATGTGCAGCCCTAGTTCTTATATACCTGGTGTGACATCACCCAAGCCTTGTCCAATCACAGAGAGCCACATTTCAATCTTTGTCCCAACCAGTCTGCCTGAGCATCCTTTGCTTCCTCTGGCCAGTGAAGCCAGAGGCTTTTGCATATTCCCCCCAGATACAGGCCCCAGCTTGCTGGGTGCTGAGCACATGGCCAGAACAACAGGGGCCATCTTGCCCATACCAAAACACACACCAAAAAAACACTACAACCACCCAGTGTGTGTGTGTGTGTGTGTGTGGTGGGGTGATACACACAAAAGGGAGCATGACTATGGCCTACTGATTAGGGCCCTCACTTGGGATGCAGGAGTCCTGGGGTTTTGCTCCCTACTCAAAGACTGTGTTTGAATTCTTCATTAATATTTTATTAGAGAAAATATATAAACTCTCCTCAGAACAGAGGCCAAAACTCAGGACTCTGGGCTCTTACATTGAACACCCTAACTTCTTTTTCACCTAATAAATATTACATTCCTCATACAACTTCAGCAGG